AAATTCATTTATTCATATCCTTTCTGTCTCTGTCTTTCTGCTGCTTGCCCTCTCCTTCCTCCTTTTTCACCCTTCTGTCTCCCTCTCCCATAAACTCAAACACATATCCACACACATTCTGTATCCAGAGAATCTAATTTTATCTTCAAACAATATATCCTAAGGGACTTTTCTCTAATTGTGATTGAGATATTGTTATAAGAATAAGAAAAGTCCATTCTCACTCCTCAGTTGTATTGGAGTAATCTCTGGCCTGGCACTGTGACTCACAGCTGTAATCCCAACACTCTGAGAGGCCAAAGTGGGAGGATTGCTTGAGCCCAGAAGTTTGAAACCAGCTGGGGCAACACAGTGAGATCCTGTCTCTACAAAAATGAAAAAATTAGCTGGGTGTGGTGGCCCATGCCTGTAGTCCCAGCTACTCAGGAGGCTGAGGTGGGAGGATTGTTTGAGCCCAGGAGGTCAAGGCTACGGTGAGCCGTGATTGTGCTACTGCACTTCAGCCCAGGCAACAGAGTGAGACCTTGGCTCGAAGAAAAAAAAAAAAAAAAGATTATCTCTGGGGTTTAGGCAGTGGAGTTGGAGATGAAAGACATAATCTGTTCTGATCACATAACAGGTAAAAATGGCTATCAAGTCATCATCTACAGGAAACATGGTGAACATAGGTCTCTGACATAGTTTCCAAAGAGGATCCCATCAGTCATTGCACATTTTTCACTATCCCACACTGAACATTATAATAAGCGTTTTTTTACTTTTTACAAATCGTGGATGCTGGATATTTGTATTATAATGCCCAGATACATAGTGTTAAACACTAAGGATTTATTGCCTCTCCTTGCATGTGACGATTTAAAATCTAGACCACAGTAATTTATATATCATGGAAAGAAAACACCTTTTAGTGGTTGATTTCAAAGCATGTTATAAGTTCTGTTCAGTTAGGTTTTAAAACTCCTGCTGAGACCTAAGGCAATTTTTAAATGGATTTTAATTTGGGGAGGATATGGATAATAATTTGTTCCTACTCTGTTAACATACTCATGATAAAGCTGGGTAATTATTGTGGGATAATTCATAGCAATTCATATCAAAATGAATTATTCTCTGCACTAGTGTTGTCTCTCCATCCCAAATATTTAAAGTTATTTTACCTGTGTTTATTCATTTGGGGGCTGAAATTTGGAAGCCAGTTTGCCCATCTTTATCTTGTGGTGTTCTCTGTTCAGTAGGTCGGCTACAGTTTCCCTTGGGTTCACCCAAGTTTGCAAACCTTTTCCCCCTGTGCTTGTATCTTGGATTATCATCTTTAGTGGGCCTTTGTTTAAGATGGTATGAAGAGGCTGGGGTTTGCAATATGATTGTTTAAGTTCATGTACCCTACCTATATTGGGTCTGAAAAAAAAAGTCATACATGACTTTTTTACCCCCTTCAAACCAGAAAAATTGAATCTACAGATCCTAGTAGCTAATTTTGAAATGTGTGATCATTTTGTAGAGCCAGCTCAGTAAGCATTTGTTGAAAACTTAGGTTTAAGTTCTATACTTTCCTTTGCTTATGTACATTTATGAGACCATGCTCATATAAGAATAGTTTTGTGATGGCCGGACACGATAGCTCATGTCTGTAATCCCAGCACTTTGGGAAGCTGAGGCGGGCAGATCACTGAGGTCGGGAGTTAGAGACCAGCCTGGCCAACATGACAAAACCCTGTCTCTACTAAAAATACAAAAACTAGCAAGGCGTGGTGGCAGGTGCCTATAGTGCCAGCTACTCGGGAGGCTTGGGCAGGAGAATTGCTTGAAACCAGGAGGCAGAGGTTGCAGTGAACCAAGATTGCGCTACTGCACTCCAGCCTGGGCAACAGAGCAAGATTTTGCCCCCTCCTCCCCCTGCCAAAAAAAAGAATAGTTTTGTGTGTATGTGTGTATGTTTTTCTTAAAGACACTTCGCTGAACTGAGGAGTTGACTATAGTTGCTCTGAGACTTGACTGTTTAAAAATTGAGGCCGGGTACAGTGGCTCACACCTGTAATTCCAGCACTTTGGGAGGCCGAGGCGGGTGGATCACCTGAGGTCAGGAGTTAGAGACCAGCCTCGCCAACATGGCAAAACTCCATGTCTACTAAAAATACAAAAATTCACCAGGTGTAGTGAGACACACGTCTGTAGTCCCAGCTACTCAGGAGGCTGAGGCAGGAGAAGTACTTGAATCCGGGAGGCAGAGATTGCAGTGAGCCGAGATCTCACCACTGCACTCCAGCCTGGGTGACAGAGTGAGACTCCGTCTTCAAAAATAATAATAATAATAATAATAATAATAAAAAGTGAGTGCCTGTTCTCCTAGTATTTGGTGGAGTATAAGTTATATAGAGTCTTCATTACTTTGTTTTTCTTTGCTTGCTTTATTTTAGTGTTAAATGTGTGTGTAACCTTTCTCCTCTTCCCCACCATATTTTTCTCTGCACTGTCATCTACAGTCCCTCTCTCTGCCTTTCCAACTAGCAACCAAACCATTCTTTGCTGATCAGTCTATTATTCTGAGAACTCTGATGATAGCACTTAAAATATGTAACAGTTCCCTTTCTACATTAAAAAGCCGTAAAACCTTCATGTGAAATAACTAAGGGAACATATATAGTAGGAGAAGAGGCTTTTGCTCCTGCAGACACCTTGCAAAGGGGACTGGGACTATTTTTCTTATATGATATAAATGAAATCTTCACTCTGCCCACTTTTACACCTACGCATGTACTGAGCGTCTCCAAGGAGACAAGGAAACCCGGAGTCCAGTGATGGTGAATCCTCCCTGAGACAGCAGGCTAGAGTCTCAGGCAACTCTCCCAGGCGTCTTGGCTTCCAGATGCCCCACTCAGACAGCCCCTTTTCTCGAGGCTCTTCCAGGCAGGCCTTGTCGAATCTGTCTCTCCCTTCACAGCTGAACTAGCCTGTGCATTACATCTGAAGGGCTGGTCGTGGTGAGTTCAGTAGGCAGAAGGCCTCCCTGGGACACGGGGGTGGACGCAGTAGGGAGGTGGGATAGCAGGGTTCCACTTTTCTCGTGGTCTTTTCTTTGTCACTTATCTATCGGTGCTAGTGTTTGTCAGCTTTCGTTTGCACCTCTTAAACACAAAGGCGCCACTCAACCTTACACAGTGTCTTAAAAATATTATGTGTTACAACTCTAGTTATGAGCACAGTTCAGTGAGCGTGTCCTTTTAGGAGAAACACTGTTCTTGCACATTCCATGTTTTTAGGTGTCTGCTCATGAACATTAATCCTCTAGACTACTCTGTTTTCTCTTTCTTCTGAGTTCAATGCACAGGGACACCCAGGCCCTCTTACCTCTCTTCCATTCCACCATTGTCCCTGTAACTTTTCTTGTAAATATACATGTTATTTTCTTATATAAATGAAGTACCTGTTCCTTTTTAAGGAACACACTACCATCGTAAGTCCGTTATGCTAAGTTTCTAAGACTGTAGCCTCAGGTCCTTTTGATGTATTGATGGCATCTATGTGTGCCTCTTCTTTGATGCACAAATAATTTGGTTACCATATAGAAATTATTATTCATATAATAAGAAGTCTCATTTTGTGTCTAAACTCTAAGCACATCATTTAATGAGCATTCTCGACATCTCTGCCATGTTCTCTGCCATTCTTGGTTCTCAGCTGCGTTGACTCAAGTAACCCAACTTTTCATGTGACTTTCTAGCACAATATCCTCAAACTTCAGTTTTCTGTTGCTGATCCTACTGCCATCTTTGGAAAGGTGTGTGGCTAGCCATTATTCTTGTTCTGAATTCGTTGGCAGTGAATGTCTTCGTGGGGGTTTATCGATGACATTTTTTTCTTTTTTACTTGAATTTTTATTTATTTTATTTTATTTTATTTTTTGAGGTGGAAACTTACTCTGCTACCCAGGCTGAAGTGCAGTGGTGATACCTCAACTCACCCCAACCTCCGCCTTCTGGATTCAAGCGATTCTTCTGCCTCAGCCTCCCAAGTAGCTGGAATTACAGGCATCTGCTACCACACCCAGCTGATGTTTGTATTTTTAGTAGAGACAGGGTTTCACCATGTTGGCCAGGCTGGTCTCGAACTCCTGACCTCAAGTGATCGGCCCACCTCAGTCTCCCAAAGTGCTGGGATTACAGGCGTGAACCACCACGCCCAGTCTTGAACTTTTAAAAAGATTTGTCAGTCATATGTTAAACATTTTAGAGGACTCTTCTGTTTTCTTCCTGCTTTATCTCCAATTCATACTACCTCCCCAATGTCTACCTTTAAGGAAAAACCTTTCCATATTGTAAGCCTGAAAGGGTCATTTGTAATAAACATAACCAGTTTTGTTCACAGATACATAATGTTCCTCTTTAAGATGACTAGAGATCAGATTTGCCAAAATTTCCTCTCTGATTTCTATAAAGATCATCCTAGGTATGTCTCATCTGTTTCATCTTCCTTCCTAGATAGCCTAACCCATAGTGTATACTTTTCCTGTGATCCACCACTTAGTTGTTTCTCTTTATTTGGACTCAGATCGGGTGAAAGTATTACTTTCAACTTGAGTCCCCACATTTCCCCAAGAAGAATTGGGGGGAGGGTGAAGGTGATCCTGAAAAGGGCCCTGTAGTGTCTCCCAAGTTTTCCTCTTTGCCCGGGTTCCTCCTAGAGTGTCTCTGTCATCTTTCTTCAGAGTCCCAATCACTCATGGTCTTAAATTTCATGTCAGATCTGTAGTAGGAATAAAGTATCTGCTTAGATGCCTGTGGAACTGTGGATGAAATTGGCCAAGTCAAAGGAAACGTAAACAAATTCTGGAAAGTTTTCCAACTAAGACTGGTGGGAAGTTTCGTTTGCTGTTTTCATTTGCCAGGAAATAGGAAAGTCAGGACCCAGTCCCAAAGCGCACTTCCTGGAATCCTTTTTTATGAAGAGTCCCCCGAACCTGTGTAGTAACGCAAAGGATTTTCATCTGTTTTTCCTTCCAGGCACTTCAGGTGGCAAGACAGCTCCTCCTTCAGCAGCAACAGCAGCAGCAAGTTAGTGGATTAAAATCTCCCAAGAGGAATGACAAACAACCAGCTCTTCAGGTAACAATTCTTTTTCTTTTTAAATTGACATTCTACCCTTTGGGATAACTGATAAGCAGTTCAGGAGTGGATTGTGTTGAGCATTGCAAATCATGTAAGAAAATCTTCTGTGGAAAGTGCATTTTTGGTTTACTAGCAGGGTATAACATTTTGGGGAAAATATGTATTTGACCAAAAGTTTTATTGTCAGGCGTAAGATCTCCTGATCGGTGAATATAATAGAAGGATAAGGAGTTGCAAGTGTTGAGTTGCTGATAGGCAGTGTAGGTTACCAGTGAGAAAAGTTCATAGTACTCAGAATTGTCACCACATTCTCTTATGTTGCGTCTGGAAATGGGATAAACACACACAGACACACACTTACTTTAGTGTAGTCATCCTCAATAGGGATGATTCCCCCACCCCCGTCCCCCCCGCTGCTGCCCCCCACCAGAGGACAATGGGCAATGTCTAGAGACGTTTTTGGTTGCCACAACTAGCAGGGCAGAGGTGTTGCTGGCATCCAGTAGGTACAGGCCAGGATCTTGCCAAACATCCTACAATGCACAGGACACAACACACTGTAATTCATCCCAGAATGTCAATAGCATCAAGAACTATGACTTGGCCTGAGGAGGATGTGGTACTTTTAATATTATATCTTGTAATGATTCTAATATATACCCAGTTCTTCAGTGGATATGTTCAGAATGCTTCTAGGTCATAATTTTTAAGTGGCAAGAAATTTTTATGTAAAGATACAAAAATGGTTGTTCTAGCAACTTCTCATTTCAGGCACGTTGAAGGCAAGGGGTTAATGGAGTAGAAGAAGGAGTAAGTTTATAAAAATCTTATTTGGGGCTGGGCATGGTGGCTCACACCTGTAATCCCAGCACTTTGAGAAGCTGAGGCAGGCGGATCACTTGAGGTCAGGAGTTTGAGACCAGGCTGGCCAACATGGTGAAACTCCATCTCTACCAAAAATACAAAAATTAGCCAGGCTTGGTGGCAGGTGCCTGTAATCCTAGCTACTAGGGAGGCTGAGGCAGGAGAATTGCTTGAACCTGGGAGGTGGAGGTTGCAGTGAGCCAAGATTGCACCACTGTGCTCCAGCCTGGGTGACGAGAGTGAAACGCCATCTCAAAAAAAAAAAAAAAAAAAAAATTCTAATTTGGATTTTTGACTCAAAGTAGAAAATTGTAATAGAAATTTCAAAGAAACTTGAATCAGGGTCTTCATGCTCACATGTAAGAGAGGGCACTTGGCACCTGGGTCCTAAGTGGTTCAGACTACTTTCATAGCTGAAGGTGGGCATTCCTATCACAGGAGGGGACAGAATCTGTAATCGGTAGCTGATAGGTGTATAACTTGGTGCCAGTTAATTGGATAATGAGGTCAACCTAAATTCTAGCTTGTGTTTACTTTTCACAGGTCAGGGTGAACCACAGCCTGTTCCCAGATTATCCGCAAAGATCAAACTGACCTTGACCAACAAGTTCTAGTTCTTCTACATGTACTTGGGAAACTCAGTTTCCAGAGAGAGTTCAGCACTATAGTGACACTTTATTGGAAGAGTTGACAATGTGCCTTGTTTACTAACCCTTCTGTAAACACTTATTTGGTAAACCATCACCAGACCATGTGCCTTGGAATGCATGCGTATGCAGGGGACATTTTTAATGAGGTATAGTGCCATTGAGGGCCCATGTCAGGTGCTATAAGAAGTGCTTTGTTGTGCAGATGTCTTAAGAACAGCTCTGGAGGATGAAATATGACTATATTGACCTTTCAGCTGTGAGCTTATTTGTCAGGATTCAAATAAGTTGAAAGGATCAAACTGAACAGTTTCCGTAGTCAGACTGGGAATTGTGTTTCAGAGGTCAGCAGCGGAGGCCACATTGCAGATTCCATAACATAGCCAATTGTTGGTACATATTAAAGTACTGGGGCATCTCCTGTGGACAGAGACACAATTAAAATTCTAATTTATTAATGTATACAGGGAGCTAGCCCAGCCTGTCACTCATTGATTCAAATGATGGTCCATTCTTTTTGCCTCCCTCTTGGAGCTCTCACAGCCTTAAAAATACCCCGAGTCCTCTTGAATTCATCAGACCTCAAGTGCATTGGGAAAATGAAAATATATTATTGGGGGGAAAATCTCACACATAGTTAGAGCTTTGGTTAGAGATAATAAAAAAATACACACATACACAATCTGCGTGATCACACTGCTCTTCAGTATTGAATATCATTTGTGATTTTTTTTATGGTAGAATTATTTTCCCTCATACTTGCTTTTTAAAAACATATGGCATTTTTAGGTAACTTCTTTTCCAAGATGAACGAAGTTCCTTGAGGGCTAAATATAAGAAGTAAAGTTTCAGGGGATTTCCTTTTGAGGGCTCTTTTTCTTCTTGCCTGTTCCAGGGTTTTTAGCCACCATGCAGAAGAGGATGATATAGAGGGCTTCGTTTTTCTTGGCAAGGACAGTGTCAAAACCAGCCTCACACATTCTGCTGAGCTCTTCAGTCTGTATAAAAAGTGGGGGGAGAAGGGGTAATCTTGAATGCTGGTTTTGGTAAAGAAGATGTCTTGATTTTTTTTCCTACCCCCCAAGTAGAGGAGTTGACAAGCAGAGAATTTAGACCAGCTTTAAGATTTGGCCGGGGGAAAGAAATCTAAAGGGTTGGTGGACTGGTGTGTGTGTGTGTATCACAGACGATTGCTGAAGGACCCCTCAGCTGCCTGATGGGTCATGCACATTCAGTAAGCTTTATTAGCTTGGCTGGCCTTCCACAAACAGAGGAGAAATTACTATCCTAGGCCACATGGTATATTACCTCATTATAAAAATATGCATATAGACTTGGTGATTCACAGAAGGAATAACCTTCATATTTAAATATATCTTGCCATACTGCATCCTCGCTGAGGCATCTCCGCCAGAGTGGCTCTGAAATGAAAGGGAAATCCTACAGCAAATCTTAACAGTGCTCATCTCTGATCTTCTCACCCTTCATAACTACACCGAGAGACCGATTTTAGCAAATTTCAGATCTTCTGCATAGAGGAAGGCTTGACAGGGAAGGAGGATTTGATCTGCTGATAGCTTGAGGGGAAAAAAAAAAAAGAAACCCAAATCCCCAAATATACTGTGACTCATATTTTAAGCATATCTCACACTTCCCTGCTTTATGTTTGGCAGCGCTCTCTGGTTTCACAGGCTGATGATACAAACAAAAGAAAATGGAAAGTTAGAGGAGGCTATAAGTGGTTACTCGATAGAGATCATAAAATGTAGTCAAACATCACCAATTTGGTCTAATTTCAGGGAGATGAGAGTAAATAAGAGAGAAATGCCACTCTTTGCAGATCCACATACTGAACCAAATCTGAGCTGGTCACATTCTTGGGTGATGTGGTTTATTAATGAAGGCATTAATCGGGTATAGATACTGCTTCTGAAGTTCTTGAGAAATATTCTACTTAGTAACTGAAATTATCTTTTTACTTAGTCTGTTCATTTGCTTTGCAAATTTTTTTATGAATGATACAAATGAAAATTGAAAATTGGCCCCATCATAAATTCAGAATCAGAGTGATCTGAATTAATTAAGTGCAAGTTGGTGATCATTTCCAAAGCAGGCTGGGCATGGTGCTGGTGTTCATGGGATACAGAACTGTTGAAGAGACAGACCCTGCCTTCAGGAGGCTTATGAGTTGTAAACAAATTAACGTTTTGCTGCAAAAAGAAAATTACAGATAAGTAAAAATAGTAGGCTCTTTTTTTTTTTTTTTTTTTTTTTTTTGAGATGGAGTCTCGCTCTTTCACCCAGGCTGGAGTGCAGTGGAGCGATCTCGGCTCACTGCAACCTCCATCTTCCAGGTTCAAGCGATTCTCCTGCTTAGCCTCCCGAGTAGCTGGGGCTACAGGCATGCACCACCATGCCCAGCTAATTTTTGTAATTTTAGTAGACACTTGGTTTTGCCATGTTGACCAGGCTGGTCTTGAACTCCTGACCTCAGGTGATCTACCTGCCTCGACCTCCCAAAGTGTTAGGATTACAGGCATGAGCCACTGCACCCAGCATAGGCTCTCTTTTGTAAATATTTATATACCTCTGAAGATTGCTTAAACAAATGAAATAAATGCTTAACAGTGCAGGTGTACTCATAACCTCAAAAATGCGTAACTTTACTGGCTGAAGATTAATTTGTGAGTAGATGAGCAATTTTATTGATCAAATTTTGGAACTTTGACCACCGTTTCTGGGTAGCAATTCATTTTGGTTCTTTAAGCATTTTAGTTGTTGGCACGAGTACATAAACTGGAAGGAAATCAAATGACACATTTTCTCCTAAGAAAGTAAGAGTACATGTGTATTCTGGCAGCATTAAAGTTAGGAAAGAAAGTAAACTTTGTGTGTTGCCTACAGTGGAAAGCTCACCAGTTTCAGGCCCCCTATAAAAAATATGAACCTGAAGCCAGTCATCTGATAGTTTTCCCTCCTGCCCATCCCCTTCCTACCAAGGTGATGTCATATGTGAGCCCCTTACTCAGAAGGTCATTTTGCTGGAAGGAAAGATGGTGAAACCCACTTAGAAGGCCAGCCCTTTAGTCCACTTGGAAGCTCAGAGTAATCATGTGGATTCTTGCTTTAAGTGGAGGAGGTTAAAATACAAGATTCAGCAGGTGTTTTTTTTTTAGCATTTTTATTTGCAGTTATATAAAACATGCTTTAGGCAGCATTTTGCTTTGCATTAATGCCACGTATAATCTTAGTAGCTTGTATCATTTCCACGTTGTTCACTAAAAAATAAATTGGCAAGAGGAAACCTGTAAAGGAAACTACAATTTTATGTTGTTAATAGTGAAATGGAATGGTTTTGAAGTACTGACCCTTAAGTAATAGCCCTATGCACTGATTAGTAAGGAGGATAATTTAGGAGAGGGAGGCAAACTTTTTTTTATGTCTAGAGTTAACATTGTGTAGAATTGGCATCCCTAGCATTTTAAA